TTTCTTCCAGATGTCTTCACTGTGACATGGTTTTCAGAACCCTTTTAGGGCAAAAGACTCACGTTGAGGAGAAACACTGCGAGGTCTTGTACAAGTGTTCAGTCTGTCCAGTTGCCTTCAAGACCTCTGACGGCTGTGAAGTACATTTAAAAAATAAACACAAATCTAGCAAGCAAACTCCTCAGTAAGTTAACTGTAAATGGTCTGACTGTTCTAAGTTGCACTTTTCATTTTAAGAGATAACACTTTTATTCTTTTGTATCTTTGCAGGTTGGTATTTAAGTGTTCCTGCAAGGCACTTTTCAACAAAAAACACAACTTTTTTCAACATTTTCATGAAAACGCCAACAAGCGAGTTACATGTGTGTTTAAGTGTCCAGAATGCAACTCTGTTTTTCCACAAAAGTGGCTGTTGATGCAGCACTTCAAGGTTAGTTCCAAAACATGTTGCTTATTATTGTTTGGAAGTTTGCAATCATTCTCCTTTATTTAATTTTTGGAAGTCAAACTTTTTGATTTCCAAAAATGTTGTACCTTTTTAAATATTGCAAGTTGTATTAAAGAGAGAAAAATGTAATCACAAGTTGAAGGTGTTCTGTCTTGTTACACTACTGATTCTATTCAAACAAGAATTTTGTGACAATTTTCTTTTAGCTTTATTTATTATAAATGATAAGATATGGTGTCTTGCACTGTAATGAGTGCTTTCCTCTGTATGTTTGTCATCGGACAGAACGTGCATGTAGGAAATATGATGTCAGAGACGGAAAAGGACAGTAAAGAAAAAGAAGGGCTGGTTTGGTTCCCAGAGTCTCATCCTGTCCAGCAGGAGAAGAGTTACATCACTCGTAAAAACACAGTCAGTCCTAGGAAGAAGTCAGAGCAGGACGCCAAATCTCGCGTTAAGCCTCGGGGGTGGACATGCGGCGAGTGTCTACAGTGCTTTGGTGAAAGAGAGTCCTACGTTTCTCACATGAAGATCAACCATGGAAAGGTAAATGTTTGACTGCATACCTGCCCAAAAATGTCAGAATTAATAACAAATGTTACCAACGGCAATTGAAAATGAAAAAGTATGATGTGATCTACTTGCTCGGTGATGGATTACTCCTTCCTCCATAAAGCTGGAGAAAAGCTGTATTTCATCCACTTTCTCTGGCAATTCACAAAATAACTGACTTAAGAGCGTTCAAGAAAAGATAAATGTACAACAAACCATATTTTTATTGTACTTTTTTGTTATTGTGCTCAATAAAGCAAAAATTTTTTTGGCATATTTAGGTTTCTGAATGTGATTGAGTGGGTGCAGTTTTACAAGCTTGTCTCATTGGAACTATGTTTGATGTTTTTACCTCAGTCAATGAAGAAATATCCTTGTCGCCACTGTGAGCTGTCATTCAACGCAGCCACCAGTCTGAGGAGACACATTCGCAGTGAACATGATGGTAAAAGAAGAATTTATTCTTGTTGGTAAGTTTAAACAACCTCAAGGTTTATATAACCTCTTGTCTAATTTCTCTGGGTTTTTTTTTTGGCTTTTAAAAAATTGACAGTAGTATTTTCATCTTTGACGGTATTCCATAGGTACTGCACGGATCCAAAGACAACCTTCACGACAAGCGTGATGTTGAAGAACCACATAAGTCTTATGCATGGAATTAAAAACCCTGATCTCAGGCAGATGCCCAAAACATCCATCAAAGAGTTCAAAAGCCCTTCAGAAAAGGTAGGCATAGATGAATAAATAATCAAGCATATTTTAAAACCAGACAAAGATGAACCGAGTAAGTAGCAAAGGCTACTTTCAAGTTATGATTTCCTCATTGTCTTTTTATTGCTCTAAAAACATAATTTGAAAACAACTTTTTGTACTTTTATTTATCTTCCTCGTTAATGCAATTATAAGGCTTGGGACTTTTCTGTGAGATGATTAAAAAAGCCCAAACAAGAAATTTATAAAGGGCCAAACACTTTTTAACAGCAGTGTGTTTTATTTGTAAAATCAATAACAAAAATAAAAAGCGTGCAAGCCATTGTTAAAATGTAACAGATTGTAGTGATCACAGTTTTGACTGGTTGTTCTATGATTTTCTTCAGGGGATAATATCGGCGTCGCCAGTCAGGCGCAGGCAGGTCGACACACCAGATCGCAGTGATCTCGACGCTCCTTCAGCTAAACGTCTTAAAACTCAGTTCCGCTGTTCAAAGTGTGGCTTCATCACGGACGACAGTGCCGAGTTCCAGCAGCATATACCTCAGCATAAAACAGATGAAAACACTCCTCAGTGCCTTCACTGTGGTTTGTGTTTCACATCTGTGGTTTCTCTTAATAGACATCTCTTTATTGTGCACAAAATCAAAGACCCCAAGGAAGATGAAGAAGAGGGGGAGATGAGGGATGTTGGCCGGTCGGTTGGATCAGCCGCGACTGCTCATGTGAATGACTTTAAACCCTCGCTGGCTGAGGAGCCAGAAAACCCTCCCTACACCAACAGTTCAGACTTTCATTTAAAATTAAAAACTCTTCCCTAGACAGATTCAGCTTCTCCCCAGTAGTGATGGTAATGTCTGTCCCAAAAAAAAGCTGCATATGTTTGTTCTTTTTTTTATGGTGTCAAGCCAAATGTGTGCTTCAGCGTCAGCTTGACGTAGAACCTACGCTGTGTGGCTCCCCGTTAGCTTGAAGTGCACCTGTCCAGAAAATAACTCCACGTCGTAGCAACGCATACTAACAGCTGCTATTGGCCCAGGTGGTGTGTTTACATGGATCGCTGATTTGCTCACAATTAACCCCCATGTGGCTCAAGAGCATAAAATGTAACGGGCTGTAACTGAATCTGTTTGCTCACCGGTTTGGCCGTGTTTATTCTGAGCTTCCAGCAGCTCTACCAGTCTGTGCAAGTACTCTTTTGCACATTGTCTTCTAATTTTTTTCTCTTTGTTTTGTGTTGCATTCAGTAGTGACTGTAATCAACATTCAGGGGCTTGTGGGGTCCTTAAAGACTCGACTACATTCAAAATAACTTCTTTCTGAAATCTAAAGTACCGATTGAGGTGTAACTTGGTTTTTGTGTATCTGCATGCCTATCTGTGTTCAGGTTGCACATTTGGGGTAGTTCACGTCCTTCACATTATCCCCAAAACATCAATGTTAAATTAATTGGTAACTAAATTGATCCTGTATGCACATTCACAATTTACCAATTGAATGTGCATGTGTGTATGTTTTTTAAGTTAAACCTTTAATGGACAGCCTTGTCCGCTTGAATTCTTGTCCCATGAAAGCTAGAAAATACTCCATGCTTTATATATTGATTTGATGCTGAAGCATACATTTGGCTCATAAGACCTTAGTTATTTTAATTACAAACGTTTGGGGCCTTTTTCATTTTTGTCATTTTAAAAGAGTGCAGTATATTTAAGCAAATTCATATTTTTATTTGTATTTTTATATATATATATATAAAGAACAGTATTGTCATTATTTACTAAAGTAAATTTACTTTGCATGTTAGCAATATGTTAATCTTACATTTCACATAAAACGGCGCTCATCTTTACTTTTAAATGTGTTTTCAAACCCCATCTCATCAGGATGCTCAGGAATATCTGTTTAAAAGTCAAGTCTATGGTTTTCACAAATGCAATAGATGGTAATGTGATAAGCTAAAATTTAGTTTTGAATGCCACAAACAAGTAGGATTATTGTTGATTTATTTTAACATAAAACATTTAAATTTAGCTGTACTTTAATTGTAGTATTCGCACCATTCTGTTAACGACAAAAAGAAAGAAGAACAGTACTTTTAAGACCATAGACAAATATAAACAAAAGGCTATTAAAGTTGAGTTGTACTTTTTTTGTGTTAAAATTAAAAAGAAATCTATCATCCGGTTGGCAGTGAGCATACAAAGCTCGATTGGTGCGTCTCGGTTTTAAAATGCTCATGTCTTTATGTTAATGGTTAAATATGTGTTGGTCATCCTAAATTTGATTTTTCTTTTGTGTGTCGTGTGTGAGGAGGAGACATTGAGGTATTACAGTTTTGCTGCAGCACTATTGAAAATACCTCAAATCACCAGAAGTGTATCTTTTCAGCAAGTTAAATTGTCAGTGTTTGTTTCAAATCAGGGTACATAGATTTGGATAATCCAGAGAAGATGTGAGTGTGAGCTTTGGTGTTACATCCAGGATACTGTTTTCAAAATCCCAACCTGTGGACGCAATCGAATGCAGAATTATGTCAGGAGAAAAGTAACTTGTGGATCTGTGAAGGATGTTTGTGGCCTGCAGGTTCTGATTTGTGCAGCGGTTCTTCTTGTTTTGTGTTGTCCACGTGACGGTTCCTACCTCCACTATAAAAGGCAGTGATTGTTAAATGATCCGAGGCTTTGGAAGGTTGAAGTTAATCTCAGTGCAATGTAAGCAATTATATTTTTAGAACTTGTATTCTCCCATGTTAATAAATTTTATAAATTATTTTGGGAATATTTAGGTTTAACGGTCATATTGACTTGATAAGCAAGTGAACTTTTCTATTAAAGTGCTCGAAATCACACCACAGCAGTTTTATCTGCTTGTGGGTGGGAAGAGTTAACTGTTCACAACTTAGCTTTTTATAACATTGAGTAAAACACATTTGTACTTTTGATACAGTGTAGAAAGTGGACTTGTATAGAGAAAAAGAAATGTGTACATACAGTGATGAATGAAACCTGGATTCACAGCATCCTCTAAGCCATTACATCTGTTCAGCATGCAGTGGCCTACATGCCTTGCTGTTACATTTACATGAAGTATTTACAAATAAAACAGGTGCATTTAATGGAACATCTGCTCCGTCTTGTTTTTGCAGCATTACACATTTGTATTTGGGTGACGCTGGTATTTAAAAGTGACGGGTCACACTTCACACAAGTCACCCAAATGAGCAGTGTGTCCAGCCAATAAGCAACAACCACTAGAGGATGACCTCATGCTTTCAGAAAATCAAGCCCAGCCCATCTTGGTATAAAAAGCTCTTCTCATATTTGGAGAGCTGCAAATATTTTTAATTAGTTAAGACAGCAAAGGGAGAAGCAGGATGACAACAATCTGTAGAGGGGGATTTTTGTCTTCTTTCATCCTTATCTCGTATATCGCGATGACGACCTCAGTGATGCTTGATTTAACCGAACAGAAAAACAAAGTGTCCCAGCTCAAGGTGAATCCCAGAGGAAATCTTTGGGCAACAGGTAAGAACATTTTAAACTGCTGAAAATGTTAATTTTGTCTCAATAGAGGCAGTTTTAATTGAGAGTCTGCATTTTTTTTTTTTTTTTTTTTTTTTTTTTTATAGGGCATTTCATGGGCAAGAAAAGTGTGGATAGCTCCTTACTGGAAACTGTCTTCGAGAATATTGACGCTCCATCTGAAGACAGAGATGTGAATCCTGTGGCCAGAGTGGAAGATGTGCAGGCACTGATCACCAAGATGCTGAGGGCTGCTCAACAAACAAGAAAACAGACACTGGAAATGTTAGTCTGACTTTATCAGAACTTTTTTGTAGTGCTTTTGTAGTTTTATTTTATGATTATTAAATTATAATTAAATTGATTATAATTTAAAAAAATTGATTATGATCAAATTATTATGTCATTCAATTATAATTTAATTATAAAAATATTCTACAATGATTATTTAGTACTTTTTTTATATCTAAGAGTTACAATTTTACTGTTTTTTTATTTTACTGTTTTTACAGTAATTTCTTGTGAATATTTTTATTGCAACTATTATATTGTTGTTTTGGCAACAATAATTTTATTATAATTAAGATTTATCATGAAGGCATATCTTATTATGAATATTTTCATCTTATTTGCTATTTCTACACATCTTATTTGCTATTTCTACACTATCTCACAGTGTATATATATATATATTTGTTTGTTTGTTTTAATATAGAGAAAGAGGAGATCCAGCTTGAAGAAACCAACTTCTTACCTGTAACAATACGAGCGCCAACTGATGAAGATCAGAGATATATTACTTTTGTCAAGTAAAAAAAGACTAAAATTTAAGCAAGGTGTTTTTTTCTTGTGATATTTATTGCATTCCATTCGTCTTTGTGTTTGTTATTAAAAAATATACCTGCTCCCTTCTTAACATGCTGTACATTTCTGTTTCAATAAAAAAAAAAGCAAATAAGTTATATGTAGTGTGTTTTATTAGTGTATTTTTAAATAATGGATGGCTTTGGGTGTTCTGGCGCCCCCTTCCGGTATGTCTGTTTATTATATCCGGGTGACAGAGCTGAGCATCAACGTGTTGGTCCCCATATTACTAAAGTAACCAGCAGCAGTTATGCCTCTAATAGTAATGTGCGGATACCCGTGTAGTGGTAAAACACGGAGGGCAGAAGAACTGAAGGCGCATTTTGAAGAGACGACCGACCGACAGGTTCACATTGTTGGAGACCGAGCTCTGGGCGTTGATAGAAACAGTGTTTATGCAGGCAAGTTCGGCTAGCTTCGTCCCCATTCACTATTGTGCTGTTCGCTTTCTCTGAACTTTCCTCCCCGCTGACAAATCGTCTTAAACGTTATTAGCGTCATACTTTGGCTTTATCCCACTCTGTTAAATAGTTTGCGACCCGGGCATGTTTTATTCGAGTACCAGGATACCGTGGCATGTAAACACTTGATCCGGGTTTTTAAATATAATCGCGTTTCAGCTGGTGGGAAATTAGCCAAACACGTGATCTGAAACCTGCTTCATACATGCAGACATGGGTGTTACAATGTTTCTACCTGGCTCCCCTGGGCTAATAAAACCAATAGCCACTAATCCTTTATCTTTACTACAAAATATGTATAGCACAAACCAAGTCATAAATCATATTTCTGAAATATAACATTTTATTCCACATATAACAGCTTCTGTAATGTTTGTTTTTTTTTCACATTGAGATAATTTAAACATATTTTCAGTGTTTGATCCTAAATCAGACTCACGAATGGATTTATTAGTAAGATTTTCGGTGCATAAAGAAAATAGAACATTTGTTCGAGGTGCTACAATGACATAAGTTATATGTCTCATTTTCCATGTAAGACATATAACTTGTATGACATATAAGCCATGTTTGTCCTGGCTTAGGGCAAGTGCCCAAAGTCTAATGCCACCTTGGGCACTTGCCCCTATGCTTTACATCAGACATTTGCAAATATATTTACAGAAAAAAACAACAACAAAACATTCATTCGTGGAGAACAGCACAGCTGAAAACAAAAGACAAAGTACAGCTACTTTGACTACTAAAAATGACAAACCTAATGTAATAAATCACAATAGTGAGTACATGTTACCCTTGGCTAACTTGATGGAGCATTGAAATTGGATGGTTAGTGTTTGTTATAGTGAGTTGTTATGGCTTAAACCTGTAGTTTTGTTGCAGATTCCCAAAAAGAGAAAGATACAAGAGCATCTCTAAAAGCTGAAGTCGAGAGGTAGGTTTACTCTCCCCTCTCTTCCACCACATGCAGGATGTTACAAGACATTTTTTAACATTGTCTTTGTTCTTTTTTAGGAAGGTCAATAAGGACAACATTGTAATTTTAGACTCATTGAATTACATAAAAGGTATACATCAAGCGTTATGTGAGTTGTGCAAATTCTCATTTTAAGCACTGTGACGTAACCTATTAAGATATCTCACAGGTTACCGCTACGAATTGTTCTGTCTGACGAAGCATGCACAGACACCACACTGCCTGGTAAGAATGTGGGTGGGGAAAAAATAACCTATGGATTTTAATAACAGATGTCGGTGTAGCTAATATTGGGGGTCTTTTGATGAAGGTGCACTGCTTGACATCAGGTGAAGAAAGCTCATTGTGGAACAGAAACAGAGAAGCTGCAGAGCAGTACAGCCAGGACATGTGAGTAAGACAATAAATTAATAACAGTGATGATTAATTTCTTACATTAAAGTGTCTTTTTTGTGTGTGCGTGTGTTTTGGGTTTATTTTTAGCTTTGATGCACTAGTTCAGAGGTTTGAAGCACCAGACTCCAGGAACAGATGGGACAGTCCTCTCTTCACTGTCCTCAAAGAGGACGTTCTTCCTCTTGAAGCCGTTTCTGATGCACTTTTTAAGAGAAGAGCTCCCCCACCTAATCAGTCCACCCAGAGTGTAAGGAAATTCACAAAAGCCATATTGTTTGATGTGATATGTGAAATCCTTCTGAGAATAACAAAGTGAATTTCTTATCTCTTTTTTTGTGTTCCCACAGCAACCCCTCTCTTCAACAAACTTCCTGTATGAGTTAGACAAAATTACGCAGGATGTTTTAATGGTACGTCCTCCTTTTTATTTCTGTCAAAAAAAATTTCAATGGGTGTGATGTTCTACTAGTTTGAGATTGACTCATAATTTAGGAAATATGTTTAAAGCCAGTCTTAAAGACTCAAGCAGACTTGTAGATATGATAGATTATCATTTCCTGTGTTTCAGAGCTAGCAAGCTGATAAAATCACCAAACAAAAATACACAATTATTTCTCTCTTTTGATGAGCTCATTTTGATTTCTAATTTATTTTATTTTAAATAATAAAAAACAATAATTTTGTAGTTACCGTAGTAGTTTTTGTTATTATATTTGATCATCATTCAACTATTGTTAGATATGATTATCATTTCAATTTTTTTAATTAAGGCTATAAAATCTTTCAGGCTATTTTTAACACCCAGAAAACAAGTGTTCCTGGAGACCTTATCTCAGTTCCAGGAGCTACAGAAAAGATATCCTTTTTGTTTCGAACCAAGGTGATAGTTTTTTTTCTAACTGCTGTGATGTCACAGTTCCAGGTAAGTTTAATTGCACATCATTGGTGTGTTCATTCATTATCCTCGTGTGATGAAGGAAGTCACATTTGCTTGCAGATGGCAGGTCATCATCAAAGACCCCATACACGCTCCTGAACTGAAGGCAGAGCAGAAAGCCAAGGTAAAGGTCTCGTCTGTAATAAAATGCTGAGAGACGTGATTGGTAGAAAGCGGCCAAGGCTCCGGGAGACGCTCCTTCTCAGAAGCAAACACTTTGATTATTTTTTCATCTTTGAACACGTCCATCAGAGCAGGAGCTGATTTAAAAGCTCTGTGTCGGTCTGCCTGCAGTGATGGGTCCACATTACGTCGGTAACATTTTTGCTGTGTGGCTGTGCAGCTTTCATGTAGGTGCTTTAGAAACACAAACTTTCTGTCTGGTTCTCTGAACAACTTTATATCCTTAACGCATAAATGAAACGTGGAGCTGACCAGGACCGTCAACATGGCCGAGCTGAGGAAACTACGGCGCCAGTTCATCAGTTACAGCAAGATGCACCCGACGGAGAAAACGGGGCAGATTGCCAACATGTTTGTTCAGTATTTAAATAAAGGTCTTCATTAAATTTTATTAAAGAGGTGGATGGGTGTTTTCTGCTTCCTGACAAGTACAGATGTTTACATTTATTGCTGTATTGTTTTTTTTTTTTTTTTTATTAAGTCAGAAATTGATTTGGTTATTTCTGTTTATTAAATAAAAGTGCAAAATTTAGCTATGAAGGCTAATTGTCTGCTGATTGGAGAGGCTGGGGGTAAATACTTCACTTACATAATATAATTTGATTATTATTATGAATGCATGAAAGAAGTATGAGGCATGCCTCATGACATGAGGCTATTTAGATAGCCATTGAACCCGTCATGCTTATTTTATGTTTTGATGGTTGGTTTGAAGCAAAAGGGATAGAATAAAAATACTGACACACAAATTGAATATCACAGATTATGCATTGCGCAACCTCTCACTAACTGCACTGAGCATGCTCCTGTATATGTCACCAATACAATGGCTCAAAAACGTTTCATATATGAACTGATTTTCCATAGTTTAGCTTATGTATATAATGTAGAGTGTTTTTCTCTGCTTTGTTCTGGGAACTGGTGGGCTCTGCTGGTAAACTAAAAATGAGTCTTCAGTGTATCTTCCAGATATGTAACAATTAAAACAAATAGTCACAACAGCCACAGCATAAACCTTCCATGGCCATCTAAGTCTTATTAAAAATAATATGGGCTCAGCTGAAGGAGAGTTTAAGAGAAGTCTTGGAGTGATGCAAAAAACTAATGGTTAAAGACCCTTCTGTTTGTATGATCCAACCTTGTAAATGTAAAATGTTACAGGAGAAAATAAAATGCTGTCTCATTTGCAAAAGGTGAGCAGAATGACAGAGCTAACTAACTACTGAAGTGGAGAGTTTCAAAACGTTTTTTAAAATAGGAAATTGTTTTGCATCCCTTTCTAATGTACTCATAATTAAAAATTCAATCTTTTGACATCTTTCTCTGATTTGCTTCTGCAGTGAAAGATGATTGTCTTTTAAGCCTTTTCGCTTTCTATATGTAATAATAAAATGAGCCACATCAATTTCAGTTTTTGAACTATTTTGTGTCAGAAATCTCTTTATTAACAGGATTCATGAGCAAAATCTTCCTGAAAAAAATCCTTCAATATTTGAGTCTTTATGTAAGAAGATTGTCAGAAAGAATAAACAAGACAAACAAGACAAATTTTATCTGTCTTGTTTGTTGTATTTAACATTTATAAAGTAACATTTATAATGTATTATTGTATTTAACATCTTTCTCCTCTTGATGTTAAATACAACGTACAAACACTACATCAGGTTTCAATAAATTATATCCCATGCATCTGCTTTATAAATAGATGTTATTGAACAAAAGGTGAAACACATTTAAATATTTTTACAAGTTCAATGCATTTTTAAAGATGCTAATAATGCCAGAAATATACCAGCAAAATAAAGAGATTTCACAGGACAACATATTTACAAAAGAGGCCATTATTTACAGAATTGTGTTGATTTTAGTTTTTTTGTTAATCAACATTTTTCTTCTTCAGAGACATGGCAGTGCCGAAGATCCGGTCCCAGTGGCTGAAAAAAGGAGCATAGTTGCTGCTCGGCTTCTGGTGGTGCAGGTCGTGGGCCGGGGCGCCCCCCAGCAGACCGAAGGGCACCAGGTGGTTCAGGGTCCAGGGCAGGTCGTAGCCTATGTGGTCCTCCACGGACATCCAGATGCTCAGAACGGTTATGCACCATGTGCTCAGTGGGTGACACCTCAGAAGAATCGGGTCCAGATTGCTCCAGAAGCCCACGGTCATCAGTTCTGGAATGCTGAGCTGCTCCGTGGACCAGGAGAATGGAGCCATGTATTCATGGTGAACTGCATGCACCCAGCGGTACAGCTGCAGGTTCTTGTGGTGCACAAAGTGCCAAATGAAGTACTGGGTGTCAAAGAGGAGCAGTATAGCCAGTCCTTCGGTGAACAACTGATATAACGTAGGAGCATCTCGCGGCAGGGTTGGTGTTGGCAGTATGAACATGCCAATTATGACAGCTGGTAAAACAAAAAAAATGTGGTTATACAGACATGTCATGAAGCTCTTGGCCATCATTCCCAGCGTTGGTCTCCTGTCTTGCTGGATCTTATACTTGTGGAACAAAGGGACCCTTTCCCCCAAGAGGTCCAACACAGCAAAAGGCAAACTAAAGCAAAAATAGCTGGAGAAGGCAAGGATGACGGGCAAAAAGGGCGACGAGACGAGAGACAGGTGGTGAAGAAGCAGATGGTCCCAGAAGGGCTGCAGGAGACGGTCGGACGCCCTGAAATGAGGGGACCTCAGAGACAGCTCGCTGATGTTCAGCATCTTTGTGTTTGAGACTGTGGCTACAACTGCTGCTACAACTGCTGCTGATCAAGATAAGATCTGGCTTTATATAGTGGAGGACTTTGCTCTCAGTCACGAAAAAAAAGAGAAAAAGAAACGCCTGCTTTTCTCCTCACAAGAGCTCAACATGTGCCAAAACATACCTACGTGAGCTTACCAAGCGCGTTCATTAGACACAAGAAACAAAGAGCTTCAGATTAGATTTGATCCAGCATTAATAGAAGACAGATCAAGAGTGTTTGTTTTAATCCCATCAAAATAACTGTTTGCACATTTTTATATTGTCTGCAACAGATATTTATAGAAATGCTGATTGATGTCGATGATTGATTTTGAAATCGACACATTTATGCATTTAATGCAATGGACAGCACACTGTACTGATAATTCCTCCACATTCGCTTGGAGGAATGCAGCATATTCCTCCCAACAGAACAGCATGAACCCATTCATGTTGGTGAGTTTTCTTAAATGTTCTGTTTGCTTTGGCAGTTTCTCTGAGATTAGGGTCACCTCTTTGACTTGGTCAGTTTACAACATTGCAGTATCCCTTACTAATCATTGTTTGGCAGAGTGACTTGGGCGGTCTGATAACCCAGTTTTAAATGATCAGGCGTTCAAAATTCCCTGTTGGCTTCATGTCATCGTCTAGCAAAGAAAATCTGGAGCAGCAAATAAATTAGACATGGCCCACTTGGCCTCTTCTCTGAATAATACTCTCCTTGGGATATTGCTGCAAACTATGAACCAATGTCTGTCTGGTGTGTTTCTTGATCTTCATGTTGCTGCTGAAGAAGCAGGTACTCACTAATTAAATGACTTGTCAAGGCAATTAACTGCATAATATGTTATTAATGGGTAATAATGTTATTAATGGTTATTACAGCAGGGGATGTATATTTCTCAGACTTGTGTTCATAAAACCTTGTGTGTTTTTTTTCCCATTTTATAAATGCATCCTGCTTTTTGCTGAACTACCTCATTAATTCATTTTGTACAAGTGTACAAAAAGTGAAAACATTCTAAGGGTGCAAATACTTTTGGGATGCACTGTAAGTAGCAAATCAGAATATTTATCTAGTTATTATTAGGGACTTAAACAAAAAACCTGGAAAAGCTCATCTTCGAAAGAAAGATGGATTCATTTCAAATAGGATTCAGCAGATGATCATGATATGATCAGAGGTGGGTAGTAACTACTTATATTTACTTTAGTAATTTTTGGGGAAAAAAATAATATTTTAGGTGCAATTTCACTATATCATATCTTTCACTTCTATATTATTATGAAGTACGCTTTCTCTTCCTTTACTGAGAATCTCAGTAAAGTTACTCACTGAGTAACTTACTCACTGTGTAAGAACATATGTGAAGAACATATTTCTACCAAAATTGCAGTTTAGGTCCAAGTGGGACATCTTGTTTGTACACAAGCTTTGTTCTATTATTTTCTGCTGAGCTTGTGCCATTTGGAGGTCAAGTGAACGCCACACACTAAACTGGAAGCATTTTACACTGTTTTAACATTCAGGTACTGCTGTTAAGTATTAGTGAGGTAAGTTTTTTTTTTACTGAAAAACGAGCTTTCTTTTGTCAAGAATTTATTTTGTAATCATTTAAACGTTTGTGTTGTTTTCTCACTTTAACCTTTAAAATACCAGAATAAGTACAGGCGTCTAAATTTTTGTCTGATTACATCATTATAAACTATTAAATTCAATGTTATGATGAGTTACTCAGTACTTAACCTTTTTCTGAAATACCTTTATTTGATTCATTTCTTAGCTGGCTACTTTTTACTTTGAGTAAAATATGCTGAAGTCTTGTGACTCGCACTAGAGTATGATTTTTGGCTACTCTACCCAACTCTGGATATGACTAACCCTGTGCATCAGACAGATGCTGCTTATTTTTATAATTAATCTGCTTCAAGTATATTCTTTTAGATGTCATACACTCACCCAAACACCCTCCAACAAAATGCAAATTTGAAATATAAACTGTCTAAAGCAACAAAATTAGGGAGGTTGAATTCACAACCCTAACTTTAAAATATTTTATCAATATACATCACCTCAGTTTCTACTTTAGTAAGTCGGATTGGATTTGTTTTCGTCTATTAAGTAACTAAAGCTGCTTGACTCAATGTAAGATACAAAAACGATTAGACTCCTTTGTTTGTCCATAGAAAATGTTCTGATAAAAAAAAAAAGAGAGAGAAAAGAAGTTAAGTACATACATTGTAAATACTACCAAGTCAGCAAAATCTTTTTCATAAAAGTCCAGGTCATGGTTTGAGATAACTTCGACTAATTGCTTCCAAAGAAAGTTTATAAGAATGAATGAAACAATGAATCTTGAGGTTAAAGTCAATTTTGTTTCCTGCCAAGATTTCGATTTCTTTTTCAATCCCAGTAGTAACAGATCAAAGATGAGCTTCCAAAGACTCTCTTATTTGTGAACCCAGATAAAGCTTGGCCTTATAGTTGTGATTCCATCACAGATGTAGAATGTTTCTCTGGATGAAGTTTCAAAAGCGATACAAAGAAACCACACAGAATAATCGATAAAACTTGATTTATTTTGAGAAGAGATCGAAATAGTTAAAACTGTTAAGGTTTATGAAT